ATAAATAAATAAAAAGAATATAAAAATTTTTTAAATGGGTAAGAAGATAATATTTAATTACCAATTTTAAAAAGGCCTGTCATGCCAAACATAATGCTGGAATTTGTATATTTCTTTGTTACCTTGAATTAGAGATGTTTATTAATAAAAAAGTAAAAGATCTAACAACTGGAATTATGAAAAACAACCACCAATATATTAGAACTGTGCTAAAATGGGTCACACATGGTGGCACATAACTGTAATCCCAATGGCTCAGGAGTCTGATGCAGAAGAAATCACAAGTTCAAAACCACGCTCGGCAACTTAACGAAACCCTAAGCAACTCAGCAAGACCCTGTCTCAAAATAAAATATAAACAAAAGCTGGGGATGTAGCTCAGTGGTTAAGCGCCCTTGGGTTCAATCCCTGGTATTAAAACCAAACCAAAACAAAAAGAACTGTGCTAAATGATTTACAGCATTACCAGTTTTAACATTTTGAAGGCTCCAGAAGCCATGATTTAAACTACTTCATGCTGTACTACAGACTAAGAAAGCATAAGAAAAGAAGATGGCAAGAACCTATGATGGTAATAAATTCAAAGAGCCACTACATCATTCATGGCTGTCTACATTTCTTATTACATGAGAAAAATCAAGGCCTCTTTTATTAACCCAGTGATAAAGCACACATAGAATACAGAAAATAAAAAGGAATCCATAAAATTTCCTTTAAATACTTCATTAGGATTTAAAATTGTTAATCCAAAATTCCTTATTCACTTCAAGAGGAAAATAGAAGACTTATATTTCAAATAATCGACTCAACTAATAAAGACAAATATACTACTCACCCAACAACAGCATACTGTTGTCCCTCAACAATGAGAACTTCAGCTGGTTTTCTTTCTTCTGTAGGTAAAAGAGGAAATCAAATAAACAAGAAGGGGTATGTATATGGTGAAACAAAATACTGGAGAAAACCACTGAAAACAATAATTCTGTTTTCAGGCCTGAAACTATCTCATTTCTGGAAACAAATATCTACTTCTTCAGAAGCAATTTGGTAGAGTAAATAAAGTACTTTGGGTTTGGAGTTAGATTTGATTTTAGTCTGGGTATTACCAATTATCAATTACCTTAAGTCAATAACTTCTCTGAGACTCAATCTGTATCCATGAAATACTTCAGGATTGCTGCTAATGATTGTTGTTAAAGATTATAAACTGCCAACCCTCTAGGCCTGGCACATGGTAGTTAAAACAAAATTATTATTAGTTTGGAAAGGCAGAACTAGCTTTTTGACTTGCTGTCTTTATTACTGTCGTTATCATTATTAGAATATGAGTTAGTTAGGCTGGGATTGTGGTTCAGCAGCAGAGCACTCGCCTAGCATGTGCCCTGGCACGTGAAGCCCTGGGTTCTTGATCCTCAGCATTTATTAAAAATAAATAAATAAAATATTGTGTCCAACTACAACATACATACATACATACATACATACATAAAATATGAGTTAATTTCTAAATTTAATGGACAGATTATGTATTTTCTGTATTTTATCTTTTTTTTCCTTTCCTTTCCTTTCTGGTACTAATTGAACCCAGGATCACTTTAGCACTGAGCTACATCCCCAGTCTTTTTAAATTTTGAGACAGTGTCTCACTAAGTTGCTGAGGCAGGTCTCATACTTGAGATCCTCTTGCCTCAGCCTCCTGAACCACTGGGATTGTAGGTATGCACCACTGTACCCACCTATATATTTATTTATTTAATTTTATTTTTTTAAAATATTTATTTTTAGTTATAACAATATCTTTATTTTTATGTGGTCCTGAGGATTGAACCCAGTGCCTCATGCATGGTAGGCAAGTGCTCTACCTCTGAGCCACAACCCTAGCCCCCACCTATATATTTCATTTTTAAGATTTCAACTTAGAAGTTATTCTGTTTTCATAGTATGACATTTCTTATTATTATGTAACAAAATTCAGCATTTTGTGGTGAAAAGAACAGGAGACTGGATTATCATCCTTGATCAGACAAATGAATTAACTGCTACAGTCAAATCATTTCTTCCCTAAGATTCAAGTCCCTTTGAACTATTGGACAAAAAAGTCTACTACCTCTTTTCTTTCATGAAAAGAAATCCATTGTGGTAAAATTTCTACACACAATTCATTATGTCCTTTGGATTATAAATTTTTTTAGAGCAAGGACTGTTTCGGAACCAGCTCTCTATATTACAAAGAAGGAACACAGTGATGTAGGTAAGAGCAAGAACCCAAATGTCAGTCAGTATACCTGAATATGAATCCTACTCTACTACCTCCTAGCTATGTAACTCTAAGTTACCTAAGCCCTTTTGCCTCAGTTTCCATATTTATTAGGTGATGATACTAACAACATCTAGATCATGGACCTGTAAATGATAATGATGTGATACATGTAAAGTACTTAGAACGGTGTCTAGCACCAAATAAAAACTCAATGGCGGGGTGTATGGGTGTGTGTGTGTGTTTGGCAGCAGTAGAGCATTTGCCTAGCACGTGCGAGGCCCTGGGTTCCATCTTCAGCAACACATAAAAATAAATAAATAAAATAAAGGTATTGTGTCCAATTACAACTAAAAAGTAAATATTAAAAAAAAAAAATCAGTATAGTTGCTATTCACTAACTTCATTTCCCCAATGCTAGCCGCATCCTAATGATTCAATAAATATATGGTGGATAAATAAATAATAACCCAGGATCTTTATCTTAATAAGAACTACTAAAATATTATTCATAAAAGGGTAAAGGCTGAGGAAGAAGAAAAGTATTTAAGAGAAACCTCATACTACCAGAATCCTACAAAGAGGGATTGAAAATAGTTCACTTTGTAGGAAAACAACATTTAATTCAATCATTCCACATTTAAAAAAATATTTTAATTTAAAAAATCATTCTGTTTGTATAATAGTAGACTTCAAAGACTGAGCTTTCAGAGAAAGAAAACAAGTCCTAGCTGTCTGGCATGGCACCTCACATAATAGGTTATCAATAAAATACAGCTTGCAAGACTAGATGAGTGATAAGTTATGAAGGCTTTGTTTTGCTAGTATCATATAATCAGTTAAAAATTGCAACCTGACATAGTTACCCATTTAAAATAGTCACAGAAATTTACATATTTAAAATATTAAGAGAAATTTACATAATTCCTTCGATTCGATTCTTCTCTCTGTCCTATATGAATGAATCTATCTATAACCAGTCCTTAATCCCTTCCCTCATGTCATAATGGTAAGAGATAGGCTTTCTCTTGAACTCTGGATTCAATTCTAGCTGCTTCTTATTTCTGTTAGGCATGAAAATATAATTCAGCTTCCTCTGACCCAAAACAAACAAACAAAATCTCTTCTCTCAACTCTTTGAGTGGATTAAGGAAACAATCTAATTTCTCAATCTCTCTAGCTACCACTTCATCACCCACTTTTCCTTCACAAATAAACTTTATTGATAAAGTGGGCTACATTTGTCTAGCCTCCCTTAGTAATGAACTGCACACTGACACTATCACTCCACTCAATTATTGATACTGTAAACTTTCTTCTACATGTCAAATCAATGGTCACTAACTGTATTTTATTCAGTCTCTTGTAGCAAAGTTGTATTTTATGCAAATGTGAATTTGAAAATATGGCTATGTAAAAACACTAAACTTTAATTAAAAATGCATAAAAATTTGAAATAATGCAATTGCCTTCTCCATTAAATGTATTCAAGTTCATAATTTCAGAATGCATTAAAAATCAATTTACATTATCAGATGACGCCATTTTAACAAACATATGTCCTAATTATTCCATCTATTTCTTTTAAAACCCAACTGGTATTTGATAATCAATGACAATTTTTTTCCTCTTTCTCTGGTCCTTCTTTTTTCTTTTCTCATAGTTCTTCACATTTTGGGTTTTGTTATGCAATTGTTTACATAATAATAAGAAATGTCACACTGTGAAAATAGAATAACTTCTAAGTTGAATCTTAAAAATGAAATATATAGGTGGGGGCTGGGGTTGTGGCTCAGAGGTAGAGCACTTGCCTACCATGCATGAGGCACTGGGTTCAATGAGAAAATTAAATTAAACCTTTAATTTTTTACTTCTATTTTTATGAATTTCTTCCTATCTCTCTGGTCCTTCTTTTTTCTTTTCCCATAGTTCTTCACATTTTGGTTTTTGTTATGCAATTGTTACATATTTTTGGTTTTATTCATTAAACTTAGTGTCTTTAAAATAGAATCATAACTGTTATCTTTGCTCCATATGACACAAAGTGGAAGCTAATTAGTGTTCACTGGATGTAAAGCACATCATCCAGGGTCTAGCATATGGTTATTATAAATTAAAACAAATACTTTTCCTGTCAAATACTTAATTGGAAGCTTTAGTTCTAGGTTTTTCAATAGGTATTCTCAATTAAAGCAACATTAAACATTCTTACAAAATAAACAAATAATAAAAAATTGGAAGAAAGTGTGTGGAAGAACACATACCCCCTGATTTTTTTTCAGGTAAAGCAATCTTTCCATCTGATATAGAATCAACAAGATCCTGAAATTCTGCAGGAACATCAGCTTGCTTCCAGCGCTCATTGTCTAAGAGGAGGCTATTCAAAAGATGAAAGAAAAGTAAACTTTAATAATGTTTCAATATCATCTTCCTTGGTTGATAAGAAAGTAGAGCTTAGCTGAATATCTAAGATTTTTGTTTAACTCTGCATAACAAGTTTATTTTTTTAAAAAAAGCATAAAGACAATAAACAAAGTAAACATTTAAACATATCTTAATTTCTGTACTAGAATTGTTCCAGGAATCATCATCTTCATCAGAGTCTATTACTCTTCTTCTGTTGAATTTAACTGCTGTTTTCTATTTGTTGGCTTACTTTTTCAAGGATTTCTATTAAGCCTTGTTCTGATATCTTCCCAATGAGTAGTCCATCTCTCGCCATCTGTATAAGGTTATTTTCTACAAAAGTATAGAGTGCTTCACGAATACGCATGTCACCCTTGCACAAGGGCCATGCTTATCTTCTCTGTGTCATTCCAATTTTAGTGACTACTTAAGATTTTAAAAGTGCTGGAGACTTTAATTGGAATCATTCATAAACAGTATCAATACTTTTATACCTCTTAGCCTACCCAATAGTGATGAAACATAACTTACTTAACTTCGAGTTAAGAAAAAAGTCAATCTTCCAGATAGGCACTTTTATATAAGTAAGCATTCTAACTCCACTTTGAAAAGTCAAAAGGTAAATTTTAACTCCATAATCTGTCTTTAATTGAAAAAAAAAGCAGAAATTTTGGCTAGTTAATTAATTTATTTTTAAAATGTCATTGTGTTTTTGCAAAGAAAAAAATTACACAGTAATGATACCTGAGCTTGGTTTTTCTCTCTTCATGAAATCTATTTACAAATTTATTAGCTTGGCTTTGAAGTGCTCCAAGTAATGACATGCTTTTTCTTCCACAGATCTGTTCTGTCTCTAAAATGAATGTTTCCATTAATCTAGAAAGTGTAATGAATTCCGTGGAATTTAACTTCTCAAGAAAACCATCCTAAATTTTAAAAAATAACACAAAAATCACGATGGAAGTTAATATAAAACCAAATATGGGTGAGCTATAAAACCAACTAAGTTTAATAAATTTCAGTATTAATTATCTTTTTCTATAATATATTATATAATTATATATTAATTACTTTTGTAATTAATAAAATTTCTTATCATTTTAAATGAAATTTCCCAATATTTCATATCTAAAAACTGAACATGAAAAGCTTAAGATGTCTTGAATTTGATTGATTCCTTTGTAACTAATACAGTAACTTAAATGAATTCAGATCATTGTATAAATTTTTCCACCATCCTGAAGTTTAATTTTGTTTGACCACATATATACACGTGCATATATAAAACAGCATCTTACATTCATATTAATTACTAAGGTATTGTATTTTATAGTAAGTCCTTTATTTATTTGAAAATAATACTTAAATACTTTTTCCTATTTCTTTAATTATTTTACATCTTAGCACTTCTTTACTACAACACACCAATATCATTAACTTTATTGTTAAAATTATAAAATGCATTACAGGGAAAATACAGATATAAGCAAAGACATAATTCTGGATCTCTAACCTAACTATCCTACATAGAAATATAAAATATATAAAGTATTATGAAAATACCTTTGCTCTTGACATGAGAAATTTGACGGCTCGATCATGACATATATCTGAGGCACTATACAATAACTCTTGGATATTATTTGCCAGCTTCCCCAGCTCTAAGTCAGTTAATTTCATGTCTTCACTGACCCTGAAAATGATAAAATGAGATTTAGGGAAAACTGTTAACACAGTTCTCCATAGGTGATATAATCAACAAAAAAGGATAAACACTTGAAAATTCACATTTGAGGAAGATTTTGTGATATATCCAATTTTAGCAATGCTTCAGAAAATAAAACTTGAATAGTAAATTTTAACTTTGAAGTTTATGATTATAGAACATCTTTAATCATGCTCAGATAACATATATTTAAATATATGTATATTATATATTATATTATAAATATATTACATCATATATTTTATTGTTGTAAACTATATTATACATATATTACAATATATATGATAAGATATATTATATATTTAAATATATATTTAATTATACATATATATTATACAACGTGTAATATATATTTAAACTAAGCCTTACAATAATTTTTTTTCTGTAGTATTTTCAATACTTAGTTCATATCCTGATTGGAAATCTGCACATATTAGAGCAAGACAATTTGTTTGGCTAAGGTACTAGGTGGTAGCTGTGACTGTAGTTTTGGCAGAACAGGGGTTGTACATAGGCACTTAGGAATAACACAGCAGAAGGAAGAAGAAAGGAATGTTATATCATGACAAGTGGCCCTCTTTTCATTCAAAATTATGAATTACTTAATATTAACTCGTATTTACTTAATGACTGAGCATTACTGAATTTACTGCTAGGAACTTGGAGGGAATACAATTTATAAGAGGTAATACATATTTTTCAATTTTGAAGGGAAATGTATGATCAGGTTTTTAAGCATTTTCCCCTAGGAATATACACATAAAGACCAATGATTTCATTTTAACAGTTCAGTTTACTTTTACCATGAGCCAAGTAAAATGTCTTACTGTTTTTCTCCCATTCTAAGTTACAACAATTTTCAAAGAGGCTCTGATGTATGTATATGAACTAGGTTAAGGTATTATGGTAAGTTATTACTTACTATCCTTCAAATTTTCAATATCACTATGTTCATTTACTAATGCTTTAAAATAACAGATTGATATTCTTAAAGTATTCTCAGGAATAGTGTATTGTTTAATTCCCTCACTCTGAGGTAGGTAGATATCTATTTACAGATGAGAACACTGAATTTTAGAAAGCTTAAGTAGTTTATCTAAGGTCACTGGTTACAAAGAGTAGGACTGGGATCCAGAATTAGTCCATATCTAATTGACTATACTTTCTCTACTATAACATTTATTTCTGTATAAACCGTCTAGTAGTATTTCAATACTAGGTCCCTCAGAAATGTCTACTTAAACCTCAAATTTAGTATTAAAGTTTCATTTTCTGTAAAGATTACTAAAATTTGCCCATGAAACAGAATGATTAAAGAATTTTGAAGTCTTGGTTGTATGCTACTAATTCACAAAGATATAAATGGAAAACAGCAAATAAAACCAAGTGAGGGCTGGGGTTGTGTCTCAGGGGTAGAAGGGTTGTGGCTCAGCGGTACAGCTCTTGCCTAGCATGTATGTGGCACTGGGTTCAATTCTCACACTGCATATAAATAAATAAAATAAAGTCCACTGACAATTTAAAAAAAAATATTAACAAACAAAGTCTTTTAAAAGTAAGATGACAAATAGAAAAAGCTGGAAACTTTTTTTTTTAAATAGTTGTAGATGGACGGCATACCTTTATTTTATTTACTTATTTTTTAAAATGTGGTACTGAGGATCCAACCCAGTGTCTCACACATGCTAGGCAAGCACTCTACCACTGAGCTACAGCCCCAGCCCCAGGAAAAGTTTTAAAATTTTTTTTTAATTAGCTATAATTTTGCTTTTCAAAAGATTTCTTTTTATTTTGTAAGTTTAATTGCCTAACTTTCATATCACTGGAAAAAAGCAACAAACAAATCCAAACATAATGCAGGATTTCCACTTCTAAATGTATATCCAAAAGATCTCAAACATACATTTGCACACCCAAGTTCATAGCAGAACTATCCAAAATACCTAAGACGTAGAAGTAAACAAAGTGCTGACATATGAATGAATAAACAAAATGTGGCAAATTCATATAATGGAATATTATTCAGCCTTAAAGGAAGGAAATTCTGACATATAAGACACATGGATGAACTCTCAGGACATTATGCTACATAAAATAAGCTGGTTACAAAAAACCAGTATGATTCTACTTTTATGCAGGAACTACAATGTTTAAATTCATAAAGACAGAAAGTAGTGGTGGTCGTCAGTGGCTGGGGAGAGACAGAATGGAGAGTTGTTACTGTGTACAGTTTCAGTTCTACAAGATGAAATTCAAGTTTTGGAGATTGATTTCACAATGTGAACATATTTAACACTACTGAATTGTACACTTAGAAATTATTAACATAGTAAATTTCATTTTTATTACAATTAAAAATGAAAACTTAAAAATTTTTACATTAATTTAAAAAAAAAACTTAAAACTCTACAACTCTAATCATTTCCACAATTTTCCTTTCCTATTTCTGCCTGGAAGAGTATTTACTCTTCTGTGTCCTAGTTTGCACTGCAATAAACTTAGAAAATTGAAAATTATTTTCATATATAGGAAAATCTACTAATAAAGTTAAAATATCAGACATCATGTTTACACATTCTACATCCACTACAATTTTATACTACAAAAGTACTGAATAATAGAAATAAGGTGGGCGCAGTGACACATACCCATAATCCCAGTGGCTCCAGAGACTGAGGAAGGAGGATTATGAGTTCATAAAGCCAGCCTCAGCAAAGGCAAGGTGCTAAGCAACTCAGTGAAACCCTGTCTCTAAATAAAACACAAAAATAGGGCTGGGAATCTGGCTGGCTTAGTTAGTGGTTGAGTGCTCCTGAGTTCAATCCCCAGTACACACACACACACCAAAAAAAAAAATGTGTGTGTGTGTGTGTGTATATATTCAAATAGTTTTGATGAAAACACTAGTTACGTACATACATATACATATATTATACTACAAAAGTACTGAATAATTGTCAGAAATAGTTTGTATGAAAACACTAGTTAGGTATACACATATTCAATTAATTCTTTGCCCCTCTGGGGCAAATGTTCCCAGACATTCATGTGCCTGTTGAACATAGAAGAAACTATCTACAGAATCTATCTTTCGTTCTGGGGTAACGTATGAGTGGAGAAAGCCAGAGAATGTTCTAAGTATAAAGTAAGCCACAATGAAGATAAGCGGGAGGGAATAAATACTATGAGACTACATCTGGTTTAAAAGAACCTCAAATTCAACTATGGCAGACTGCTATTTATATTTTAGTATTCGTTCTCTCTTCTGCAATAATAAAGAGTTTAAGCAGGACAAATAGTCAACAAGTTAAAGACCCAAGCTCAAGCCTCCCTTCCAGCTACATATAGTTATGTGATAACCTTCTGGACTCTAGGATGGAAGTGAAAGTAATAAGTTCAAATTGGGGGTTGTGCTCTTAAAAAGAGCAAAAAAAAAAAAAAAAAAAAATGGACAAATATCACAAACACAATGTTGAATTAAAAAAACAGACACAAAAGACTATCATATATATGATTCCCTTCCACTTATATAAAGTTTAAAAATTAGAAAAGCCAATAATTTTATTAAAGGTTTCTTTGAAGCAGTAGCATAGTGTGTCAATGGATTTTTCTGAAGAGTTGAGAACATTCTTTTTTTCCCCCAATATTTTGGTTTTTAGTTGTAGTTAGACACAATACCTTTATTTTATTTTTATATGGTACTGAGGCTCGAACCCA